TCTTGTTCTAATTGTTTGTTTAGTTTGTTTTTGTGGGGTTTTTTTTAGGTTCAGCTATTGATAGTTGAGAGTTTATTGTCGTTTTACTGTTCATAGTTTTGATCTTCTTTTTCTTAGATAAGTCCCTTTAACATTTCACATAATAAGGGCTTGGTGATGATGAACTCCTTTAGCTTGACCTTATCTGGGACGCACTTTATCTGCCCTTCCATTCTAAGTGATTGCTTTGCTGGATAGAGTCATCTTGGATGGAGGTCCTGACTCTTCCTCACTTTCAATACTTCTTTCCAGCCCCTTCTTGCCTGGAGGATTTCTTTTGAGAAATCAGCTGATAGTCGTACGGGAACTCCTTTGTAGGTAACTCTCTCCTTTTCTCTTGCTGTTTTTAAGATTTTCTCCTTTTAATCTTGGGTAATTTAATTATGATATGTCTTAGTGTGCTCCTCCTTGGGTCCAACTTCTTTGGGACTCTCTGAGCTTCCTGGACTTGCATGTCTAGTTCCTTTACCAGATTGGGGAAGTTTTCCTTCATTATTTTTTCCAAATAAGTTTTCAATTTTTTACTATTCCTCTTCTTCTGATTCAGATGTTGGAACGTTTAAAGTTGTCTCAGAGGCTCTAAGCCTCTTTGCATTTTTTTTTTTGAATTCTTGTTTCATCATTCTGTTCCAGTTGAATGGTTATTTCTTCCTCCTGTTCCAAATCATTGATATGAGTCCTGGTTTCCTTCCCTTCACTGTTGGTTCCCTGTATATTTTCCTTTATTTCACTTTGCATAGCTTCTTCCTTTATTTTGTGGCCATACTCAGTTATTTCTGCGAGCTTCCTGATTACCAGTGTTTTGAACTCTGCATCTGAAAGGTTGACTCTCTCCTTGTCACTTAGTCCTTTTTTTTTTTTTTTTAGTTTTGATCTGTTCTTTCATTTGGACCATATTTCATTGTCTCTGCACACATCCTACATTGTAAGGCGTGGAGCCTTAGGTATTTGCCTGGGTAGGGAAACCCACATTGCTGTGTTGTGGCGCAGTATGTGGGGGAGGGGGGTCAGAGAGGGAACAATGCCACTTGCTTACTTCCCCTGCTACCCACAATCTAATTGTGCCCTTCTGGGTTCTTCCCTGGTGCTGATTCCCAGGTCTGTGGGCTTATGTACGTTCTAGGACCCCATGGGCTCTCCCAATGGACTCTCCTGTGAGGCTGGCAGTGTCTCCTGCCGCTGCAACCCTGACAGATTTTTATAGCCAGAGGTGTTTTGTTTGTTTTTTAATTTTTAAATCATGTTTATTCTATTACAGTTGTCTCAATTTTTCCCCCTTTACCCCCCTCCACCCATCCCACCTCCACCCCCCTCTCCCACAGTCAATTTCCACTCTGTTGTCCATGTCCATGGGTCATTCATACATGTTTTTTGTCTAGTCCCTTCCCCTTCTTTCCACCATTGTCCTCCTTCCCCTTCCCCTCTGGTCACTTTCTGTCTGCTCCATGTTTCCGTGCCTGTGGTTTATTTTGTCCATAGGTTTATTTTGTTGAATATATTCTACTTATGGGTGAGATCATATGGTATTTGTCTTTTACCAGCTGGCTTATTTCCCTTAGCATAATATTCTCCAGTTCCATCCCTGTTGTCGCAAAAGGTAGGAGTTCTCTTTCTTTTTTTCTTTTCTTTTCTTTTCTTTCTTTCTTTCCTTTCTTAAATGCAGATTGATTTTATATATTTTTAAATGTCAAAGCCAATTATAAAATATTTAAAAATTTAAAACCATTATAAAGTATGAACAATTAAAACAACATGACAGAAATAATCAAGTAGATCAAGGAAATATAATGAGCATTCTAGAAACAAATGTATATATCTCTCTAATATTGTAATATATGATTAAATTGATATTTCAAATCAATGGGTAAAATAAGGCTTATTCAACAAATAAGGTGCATGGATCACTATTACTTGAAATAAAACAAATATAGAGCCCTATTTCACACATTATACAAGAAATATTCAAGTGAGTTAAAAATCAATATGTAGAATCTAAGGAGTTTTAGGAGAAAACACAAAATTATATTTTTCTTACCCTGAAGTAAAATATTCAAACCCAGAAGCTATAAAGTAAAATATTGACAATATAGTCATATTAAACATTTAAGACTATAGAGTAATATACATATAAAAAAGTTAAAGGACAAGTAATAGAATGAAAAAGTATTTGCCATGCATCTAAAAAGGGGTTAATAGTTGTTTTTTTTGGGGGGGGGGGGAATTCTACAAACCCTTAATCAATAAATGGATAAGGAATATAAAACAGTCATTTAAAGCTTTTTAAAAATAATAGAAATAGGCAATAAATATACAAAAACAGGCTTAGTTTCAACAAATAATAAAGGAACAATTAAAATAACACATCATTGTCACAATCAAATGAATAAGTATTAAAAATATTGGTAGAACCAAGTATTGGTGACTGTAAAAGGAACTAGGTATTCATAGAAACTTTTTCTTCATCTTAAAGTAGTCCCTTTAGCATATTTTGCGGTGCTGGTTTGGTGGAGGTGTATTCTTTTAGCCTTCTTTTGTCAGGGAAACTCCTTATTTCCCCTTCCTTTTTAATTGAGAGCCTTGCTGGGTAGAGCAGTCTTGGTTGCAGGCCTTTGCTTTTCATGACTTGGAATATTTCTTGCCATTCCCTTCTTCCTTGTAGTGTTTCTGTTGAGAAGTCAGCTGCTAGCCGTTTTGGGGCTCCCTTATATGTTACTACCTCTTTCTCCCTTGCTTCCTTTAGGATTCTCTGTTTGTCTTTGATATTTCCCATTTTAATGATGATGTGTCTTGGAGTGGGCCTCATTGGGTTCCTTTTGAATGGGACCCTCTGTGCTTCCTGGACTTGTGTGACTTTTTCTGTCCTCCAATTAGGGACGTTTTCCATCATTACTTTTTCAAACAAATTCTCTATCCTTTCCTCCTCTTTTCCTTCCGGTATCCTTATTAGACAGATATTATTACGTTTCAGGTTGTCCTGCATTTCCTTAAATGCCTCTTCATTCTTTTTCAGTCTTTTTTCATTTTCTTCCTCTTTCTGGGAGCTTTTTTCCACCTTGTCCTCCATCTCGCAGTTTCAGTCCTCGGCCTCATTTAACCTGCTTTCAATTCCTTTTACTGTGTTCTTCAATTCAGAAATTGTATTCTTCATTTCCTCTTGTCTCTCATTGATAGTTTCTATGTCCTTTCTCATGCTGATATAGTTTGCAGTAAATTCCTCATAGTTTCTCTATAGTTTTTGGTAATTCTCTCTGAGCTCACTGAGCTCATTGAGCTTCCTTAGAACCATTGTTTTGAAGTCAATATCTGATAGTTTACTTGCCTCTATTTCGTTTAGTTCTCTTTTTGGGGAGTCCTCCTTTCCCTTCAACTGGGGGATGTTTCTTTGTCTTCCCATTATTTGTGAGACTCTTCTTTGTTGCTTCTCCTTCTTAAATCGACCTGTCTTGATTTCCTGACTTTGTGGTGTGAACTTCTATGGTAGGAGACTGCTGTTTTTACTGTCTGGATCTGCCTCTGATGATGTCAGATGTTGTCCCTGTCTGACCTTAAGCAGCCTGTTTGAGACTTCCAGGAATTTACTGTCTGGCTGTCTCCTTCAGCTGTTAATCTAATCACTCTGCACTCAGCAGGCCGGCTTAGATTGCTCAAGGTGGGGTGGAGTCCTTTCTGGGGGCGGAGTTATTAGGTCCTCTGACACTGCTGCAGCTATAGCCAGAGGTTTTGAGGCTTTCTTTCCCGCTTTGGAGCCCTGGGTTGCATGGTCTGTCTCACTTCCCAGTGTTCCTCCTGGTTTATCCCTACGTAAATGTGGGACTGCCCAGTCGTCCATCTGCTGCCTGGCCCACCCAGTCCACCAGGCACCACCTTGCCAGGCATCCTCTCCGCCCTGGCTGCCCATCTCTGCCCTGGCTGCCTGTCTCTGCCCCTCCTACCAGTCTAGACAATTGTTTCTTCTTTAACTCCTTGGTTGTCGGACTTCCACAAAGTTTGTTTTTCTGGTGGTTCTGGTGTTTTTTTTGTATTTAAATTGGTTGTTATTCTTCTTTTGGTTGTATGAGGAAGTGAAGCATATCTGCCTATGCTTCCATCTTGGTCATAAGCTCAAGCTCTTCATTTTTGAACACTCAGTCGTTGCTGCCCAGCCCCCATCTCACTTCTTCCAACCCCCTTTGTTGCTAGGACACTTCATTGGTCGGAGGCCAGTGACATTACCTGTTGCTCCTGGGGGCCTTAACCTTACCACATGACACCTGTCAGTGATATAAACCCATGGTCCCCCCTGTTTTTAGTGTCCATGACAACACTGCAGCTCTCCACAATCTCTCCACACCCACCAGTTTAATTGCATTGCATGAAACTCCAGCTATCTTTCTCATCCGTCAGTCGTTTTCTGAGAAAGAAGGGGACTCTGCATCCCCCTCCCCCACCTTTGCCCTGGCAAATAGGGTGCCAGGTGCCCTGGGCCTGCACAGCCTTGTGTGGGGGACCGGAATATTCTCCTGGTCTCTCCTGCTTGGAGGGCTTTGTCTGTGTCCCCAGGCATCAGGCCCTGCCTCCTGACGCTGATCTTTTCACCACAGGCATCTGAAGCACACTCAGCAGAGTCCTCGGACTTCCAGGAGAAATCCACAGCAGGAGGAGGTCAGCAGAGAAGGGATGAGTGAGGGGAGCTTGGACTGGGGACACCTCTCTACACTCTATACTCTACCAAATGATTAGGGGAACCCTGGGAGGCAGGAAGTGAATCCCTGTGAGTAGAGGTGGGGGTAGAGGAGGGTCATTTGGTGAGGGTGGGAGGTGGACAATAATGATGCTTTCACCCCATTTGCATTACAGGCTGTGGAAACCTGGGACTCTTCTGCCTTTGTACTTGGCATTGGCTCAGAATTGACTGCGTTTTGGTCAAACTCTGAGCAGATTACTGCTCCTAGTATTAGATCAGTGCATAAAAAGTAGGAGCAATGGCCGTGACACTGTTGGAGGACTGGTGCAAGGGGATGGACCTGGACCCCATGAAGGCCCTGCTGATTGTGGGGATCCCTGTGGAGTGTACTGAGGATGAAATTAAAGAGACTGTGAGGGCAGGCTTACAGCCCTTGTACCCATACAGGGTACTGGGAAGAATGTTCAGAAGGGAAGACAATGCTAAGGCAGTCTTCATTGAATTGGGTGACACCATCAATTATGCTACAATGCCTAGTCAGATACCAGGAAAGGGAGGTGCCTGGGAAGTGGTGGTAAAACCCCGAAACCCAGATGAGGAATTTATCAATAGATTGAGCTTCTTCCTGAAGGATGAGGGCCGGAGGATGGTAGATGTGGCCAAAGCCCTGGGGTATAGCCCTCCCGCTGAGGGCAAGGAGCCAGAGGGTGTTCCCCCAGTTGAACCGGTAGTTTTGCAGCCTGTGAAAGAAAACATGTGGTACCGAAAACTCAAAATGTTTTCAGGAACTGCCTTCCCAGGCCCAGGCGAAGAGCAGTTTGAAGTCTGGCTGGAGCATGTCACTGAGATGATGCAGATGTGGCAAGTGTGTGAGGTAGAGAAGAGGAGGCGTTTGCTGGAGAGCCTGCGTGGCCCCGCCCTGTCCATCATGCGGGTGCTCCGGGCCAACAATGAGTCTATGACCGTGGAGCAGTGCCTGGATGCTCTGAAGCAGATCTTTGGGAATAAAGAAGACTATAGAACCTCGCAGTTTAAGTTCCTTCAGACCTGTCAGAAGATTGGAGAGAAAATCTCCGTGTTTTTGGTGCGGCTAGAGCCCCTGCTGCAGAAAGCCGTGCAGCACAGCCCCTTGTCAGTGCGAAACACAGATACAATTCGTCTGAAACATGTCCTAGCTCGGGCCAATGTGACCAACAACCTCCGTGGCAAGCTCGAGCTCCTGGATCAGCGAGGATGTCCTCCCACTTTTCTGGAGTTAATGAAGCTCATTCGAGATGAAGAAGAGTGGGAGACCACCATGGCAGTGACGAAGCAGAAGCCAAGGCCTGCAGGGAGGGGCCGCAAGGTCTCCAGCAGACAGATATTAGAAGAAACCAGTATTCCTATCATGCCTCAGGTCATCGTGCAGGCAGGTACATCTTGTGAGAGCAGCACTCAGACCATTCAGAAAGGAATTGCCCCATCACTGAAGCGCAAGCAACTGCCCTGCTACTGTAGTGGAGAGGAAGGCCACAGCCAGGACATATGCCCTAAGGTTGAAAACCTAACACCAACAAAGCAGATGCCTCAGCTTGCAGCAGAAGAGTCGGGAAACGAGGCAGGGGCTGGGGCCATGAGCCATCCCAAGCCCTAGGAAACATAGGCTCAAGAGATCCAGGCACCCTTTCCCCTAGCAGGCAGCAGAAAGATTTTAACAAGGGGGAGGGGCAGTCAAAAGAAATAGAGGACTTAAGTGGGGCAGAGGGGCAGGGCAGTCCGGCCCAGGCCAAGCCCCCTTGTCCTCCATCACCTAAAAGAGATTCCACCCACCAAGCCAAACTTACCTCAGGGAGAGCCAAGCAGTGGGCCCTGAAGAGGCACTGGCGACACGAGCAGGGGCCTACCACACCCAGCACAGGGGGTTCTCCAGCCAAGAACAGAGACCCCACCATGGCAGAGGCTGAAGGAGTTGCAGCTGGGGGCTCTGGCATTGGCCCCATCATCCAGCCACCCCCAAACGTCCACCCTATGGACTCAGAGCCAAGAATGCAGACAGGCCCCCAGGCTGTCTGTGGCCTGGAGGAGCCTTCTCCAGGGCCAGCCCTGCTAGAAGAAGCAAGCACCAGTCAGGAAGAGCTTTGCGGCAGAAAAGCGGTGTCTCCTTGGAAGGGAGGCCGCAGGGTCCAGCCCATCTTCAGAATTATCTACACTGCTCTAGGGGAGCCCCACGAAGGCAGCACCCTTGAGCCCCTGCGCAAGTGAGGCCAGGAGCCCAGCGCGAGCCTGCAGGTTAGTTTCCTGTGCAGCCTAGAAGGGCTGTGGGGGCAAGGAGAGCAAAGAATGAGAGGAGAGCCTCGGCTCAGACTGTCGGTGGGGGTGGTGGCACTGAGTACTTGGGCTAGTACCCGGCAGCTGGCTTTGGTGGGAGTGGGTGTGCAGGGACAATTGTTCTAAAGCAGGAGGAGAAGGGGAGGAGCAGGAGGAGAGAAGGAGGAGGAAGTGGAGGGAGTTAATTAGGAGGAGTAGGAGAGAAGAGGAGGAGGAGGAGAAGAGGAGGAGGGTAACAAGGAGGAGGCGAGCAGGAGAGAAGGAGGGGGAGTTTTGGGGGGTCAGTGTTTTGTTCTGTTTGTTTGTGTAGGGCCACTGGAGATCTGGGGAGAGCAAAAGGGAGAACCAGCGAACGACCACTCAGCAACTGCCAATGCCAAGTCCAGCCCCAGCCCCAGACCCTGCCAATACTGGCAGCCATCCTGGGAGCATCCCTGAGCAGCCTTCCCTGGCCTAGATGAAGGGCACCTGAAGACATCTGCCACCTGCATGGAACTGGGAGATGTTAGAGGTCACCTCGAGGATACCAGCCAGCTGGCCCTCCCAAGAGGGGACCCCCATTCTCCATGCCCTGGGGCAGGCTGCTCCCTGAACTGGGAAATCCCCACTACTGCTCTGTAGGCCCCATAGTGACCCACTTGCCCAGTAACTACTTCCTCCCCCACAACACACAAGATATGTTTCTTGTGCAGAGCCGCCACATGTGTGTGAACCTGGGTGGGTGTCCTGGCCTGCCTCCTGGGGCAGCCGCCTCTCAGCCCCGGCACGTGCTGTGAGCTCCACTGTCAGCCACAGCTCCACCTGCTCTCCACCACTGTCGTGAGCTCAACCTCTGCTTGCTCGGTGCAGATTTAGGTCAACCGCTGCTTGTTCTTGTAGAGATGTGTGTGTGCTTCTCTGAGCAGTTCCTGTACCATCCCTCCCACCCTGGAGACCCCAAGACCAGTTTCAGAAGACGGTGGGAATGACGCATTAGGGTGCAAGCGATACCCAGCGACCTTGGAAAGGAAGAACTGGACCAGGGACAGAAAGCGGCTGCCGGGGGCCCCACAGGGACTGCGTCTTGATGTGCCACCCTGTTGTTCCTTGTGACTGCGTTTTCCTCGGCTTGGTGCAGTGTCCCCTGCTGTGTTTCCCAGCATCCTGCGACTGTCCTGCGCAGGCCGTAGGACAGGGCCAGGACCCAGCACGTCAGCCAGAGGGAGGGGGCCCCTGCAGCGAGCGGACATCGCCAGCGTCCGTAGCCCTGCAACGGCCGATCGCGGGGCCCTCAGGAAGGGGGACTGGGGCGGAGGGCCGTGGCGTGGGGGGACAGCTGAGGCACCTTGTCCGGGGCCCCAGCAGGAGGCGGGGGTGTGAGGCCTATGGGTTCTAGTGGGTGTTAAAAGTTCCTGTCTGTTATTACCTTTCTTCAATGGTTTCAGTAAATGTTTCTCTTCAATAAATTTTGTTGAATGTTTCAGCTGAGTTTAGCCTTTGCTATGGGTATTAAGGGAAAGGTTTGCTGGGGGCAGGGTTGGTGGCAACAGTGGCCTGGGACTCTAAGTCAGCACTGGGGTATGGTGGGGACAGGGTCCATGATGGCTGTGAAGTCCTCTGGGCTGGATGGCATAGGTGGCAGGAATTTGTGGGCACAGACATCTGTTTGGATCCCCAGGAAGTTCTGGGATCCACCAGGAATAAGTGTGTTAGACTTTGAAGGGAAGAGGAAGGATAGCAGGTAGGCCAGAAGCCACAGGATCCCTGGCAGCGGTGTAATGGCTCAGGATGCCCATATGGGTCAGACAGGTGATATATGCAGTCCCAGAGACCAGCTGGCCATAGAAGGGCTTAGGTTTGTGGTCAGACGCCCCTGCCAGGTGCTCAGTGAAGGACTTAGGGGTGGGGTGGGGTGCCTGCCTACCCATCCCTGATCAGCCTTCCCCTGCCCGTCGACAAGGGGCCAGCCTTGGTGTAGCCACTGAGGGATGCTTGTGGGCCTGGGGGTGTGTGATGGCTGAAAAGAACCTGTGTGAGCGTGTGTGTGCTGGGCAATTGGTGAGTTTTAAATCCTTCTAGGGTTATGTGGAGTCATCAGTTTCCCAACCCTCCCTGGGCCCAGGAGATCAGCCTTCCTCCTTCAGGGCTGGCACAGAAAAAAAGAGGTCTCTGGCTTGCCACCCAGCCCCTGGAGGCCACCCTTCCCAGCCTTTTATCCTTTCCCCCATAGGAAGAGAATTTGGAAAGAGATGAGTATGCACATTTTTCCCCGTTGTCTCGTTTTCCCTTTGTTCAGCAAGGCCACCACCCCCAGGCCCCTGGCTCCTTCATCTAGAACCAAAAGGGCAAGGTTTGAAGCCTGGGTGGTTTCCCACCAGTTCCCCAGGCCTGGAGGCAGGTTCCCTGCTGCTATGCACATTCCTCCATAGCCAGGATTTGCCAGCACCTGGGAGCCCCCTCTGCCCTATGAGCTTTTCCCTACCCAAAGCCCTGGTCATGTGGGGACCCCCTTTGAAGGCCACAGTTCCCCTCTAAACCCCACTCCTTCTTCCTGGAGCCCAGATCAGGGCCTGTCTTCTGAGCCACTGTCCCTGCACACAGGAATCTTTTTCTTCAGCACTTTGTCAGCCAGCACCCCTGGTTGCCCTGCTCCTTCCCCAGTTACCTGCTGGCAATGTTGAACTTCCCTCGAATCCTGTGATTCTGGAAAAAAGCGATGGTTAAGAAATCTATCCTTTTGTGTCCTGAAAAATGACTTACTGCAAAGAACCACTGTTATGGGCTGAATTGCATCCTTACCAAAATTTGTGTATTGAAGTCCTAAGTCCCATGCCTCAGAACGTGACTGATTTGGAAACGGTCTTTACAGAGGTAATTAAAGTACAGTGAGGATATTAGTGGGCCCTGATTCAATACAATGGTGTCCTTATAGAAAGGAGACACTTGGTTGCAAAGACAGACACACATAAAGGAAAGATGATGGGAAGAGACACAGGAAGAGACAGCCATCTGGAAGCCAGTGAGGGAGGTGTGAAACAACTCCTCCCCTTACGGCCCTCAGAAGGAAGCAACCATATCTTGATCTCCTATTTCTGGCCTCCCAAATTATGAAACAATACCTTTCTGGTGTTTGAGCCACCTAGTCTGTGGTATCTTGTTATGGCAGAGTGTGCAACTCATACACTGTACTTACCCATATGACTCAGGGATGCCCTTCTTGTTTACCCATGGCAATGCTAGACAAAGACCCAAATTTCCCTTCTTTGTCTCCTGATTAGCTGAAATGCTCATTTCCATTAATCAAGAGGAACAAGGTGCTTGTTAACCAAACTCTGGTTTAGCTCTTCTTCCTGCAGACCCCTGAACTTTGGCCCACCCTCAGCCTGGGCAGACAACTTGAACAGCCATTCTAAGAACAGGCTGGCCTCAGGTAAAACCTTCTCTGATCTCCTATTCCATCATCCTCACTCCTTTCTTCAAAAGAAAACCCTTCATCACTTAAATCTTATGATGCTCGCAGATCTTACGGTCTCTGTGTTCGCCCTATTGCAGCAGTCCTTTGTCTTCCTTTACCAAGTCAGGATTTGTTTTTATTCGACTGGCTCCTGGACCCCTGTCTTCACTCAGGTGTTTGTGTTGGCCTCTCAGACCCTTTGTGTCCTTTCCTGGCTGGGGAAATCAGGATCCACAGTGGCTAGTCACACCTCTTCATTTAACCCAGTGACCAGATAGTTGTCCCTTGTGACATGGTGGTAAGGGGTTACTTTTATTCTTCTGGCAGAGAGACTTTCTTTGACTCTTCTGTGAGGTCTCTTTTGTTTTACCTCTGACTCCAGGAATTGCATGGATGGAGGAAGGGTTCCCTGGAGCTCCCTTCCAGGAGGTTAAGGAGGACTTTACTTGGCTTTCTAAACCCAGAAGTTGGTGAGGGGGTTTTTGAGAGGGGAGGTGTCTTGAGTTCAGCAACTGCATAAGAGGTTACATTAGCTTTCCCATTTGGGAGATTTGGAGAGGGTTCTCTTGGCTCTCTCACCCCAGAAATTGCAAGGAGAGCTCTTTGGCCCTACCAACCTGGTGATTGAAGGCAATCCCCTCATTATTTATCCCAGAAATTGCCCTCAGGATGAAAGTTGGGGTTGGGGAGCTTCCTCTGCCCTTTAATTCAGAGATCCCATGCGGGGTTCCCTTGGCGTTCTAACCCCAGAGATCAAGGATGGAGGTCCTTAGGCTTCTGAACCTGGGGATTGAGTGGTGTGTTCCCTTGGCGTTCAGACCCAGAGAGCATTGGAACTTTTAAACAAGCAAGAGTATCTCCTGGTCCTTTAAAATATTTTTTCTCTTTAACTA